TTTCAAAAGAAAAGGACGTGTATATTGTTAGTAGTATGAAAATAAGCACACTTGAGAACTTATACTCTTTGTAAATGCCCATAGCTGCACATGCAATTGAAACTTTAAGGGTAGTTTTCACATTCCAGGCTGGGGGGGATCATGAAATTAGATGGGAGGTGGGAATAGCTAAGGGGGCGAAGCTAAAATGCATCAGGAGTCAGAAGTAGAATAAGCATAAAATTACCAAGACATATGAAATTTGTTGGAAGACCTTGTAAGCACTCCCTCAACAAAACAGCATCTGTGGGTGCCCTTCTTTTTCCACATGCAGAGGCCCCGGCCCTTTGCACTGCTCCCTGCTATGATCCACAGAACATTTTGGAAAGAGAAGGCAGGACTGCCTAAGGCAAGGGGTAAGAAAGGAGAAGTATTCTGTGGCCTAGAGATGGGTCTGGGCTGAAAATGGGAGGGAGACTACTTTGCAGAAATAGAAATAAGAACCAATTTGTATCTTACCTAATCAATCTTAGGTCTTGGGTTAAATAAACGATACTTATAAACTAAGAGTTATAACATTTTCCAGCAGAGGGCATACTTTACATTGGAATAGATCTAAAAAGGCCTTAAACTAAGAGGGTTTTTTGTTTTTGTTTTTTTTTTGAAAAAAAAAAAATAACTTCAGTATTTCTGGTTTCTAGATAAACAATTTTTAAGTGTTTAAGGCCCAAAAGATGTTAAATATGAAATTCCTTGGGTTCCAGTTAATATCTCTAACTTATTAGTAAAATATTCAAGATGGGATTGCAAAATGAGGCAATTTTTCCCATGGCATATGGAATGGTCTTAGACACTATCATTGTAAGCAAATAAGCAAAGCTGTTCTTTTTTGTGTTCTTTACAAATAGTTCTTACAGAAAATTCTACTTTTAAGTGGATGATTACAGTTTTCCTTCATTCCAAATGAGTTTGAGATGAATAACTGCTTTTCTTTAACAGTTAGGAATCACCAGCATTTTTTAATCTGTTCTATAGCCAGCTTTGATATTTTTCCTAGAGGAAATGACACCTATAAAAAAGTTAACTCAACTTATTATATAATCTAACTCCAATATTCAAAGTCCTTTTAAGCAGCAACTTTATGAGAATTTAAGATTTATTTCTCTTCAAGACTCATTTTCCAGATCTTACAGAATCATTCTCACAATAACTGAGAAAGTAAAAATTGCTATCTATATTTAACGATTTTTTTAAAGCTGAAGGTACTTATTATCGGCGGACGTGTTCCCATCTGGATACCAGGTCTGTTTGACACCATAGGCTACATTGAGTTCATGGCCACACCCAGTCCTCAGTTGACACTATTTTATCTTATATTTTAAAATCATAGACACATGACTTTACTCCTTAGGACATGAGTCCAGATTTACATACTGTGAAAAGTACAAAGAATGAAACAAGATAATTCTCTATAAATCAATCGCAGAAATTTTTGGTTTGAAAACTCAATAAGTTGGTTTAATATTTTGGCATCACATAAGAACTCTCTCAATCTGGCTTTGTGTGCGTGTGCATGTGTGTGCACACATGTGTACACATGCGTGCACACACATGTGCACTGTGTACACGTGTGTACATGACTTAAAAAGTGAATGAGAGGTGAAATCTCTGGGAAAAACATTCTCAATATTATGGGAGATACAATATATTATCTTTTATTATTAGAGCTATTTCTTTTAGTACTCCCATATCTATGAAATTCAAAAAACATATCCAATGCATACGAATTTGCTGCCTAGGAAACAAAATTATTTCTGTGTTTAGAAACTGTAGATTTATATATCCTTAAAATGACAACGAAATAGATCTCTATATATTTACTTTCATTTTCATAATGAGCTCTAGCAAAATTATTGTAATTAATTTTATTCCACAAGATAGAAATTTTCCTCTTTTATTGGTGTGTAGAGAAAGGTTTAAAATAAGTGTGGGTGTTTAAATTTAAAGTAAATGAAAGTTGGGGAAATTAGAAGTGTTAGCAAAATAAAATAATCTATTCTTTCTTGGAAAGATAAGCTGTTTTCAAGATTGATAGACTGCTTGCCATTATAATGAAAATGTCTATATGCTTTTTAAAAACTCAAGTTTGATTTCACTTAATACTGTAGATACAGGATTGCTTGCTTGTTTACAGAGCTTCATACAGATTATCAGCCACCTTTGCTGTCAGGTAGTAAACATTTGAATATTGGGCTTGGGTTTGAAAAGCAGTGATTCCCAATTCTGCCCCATTCTAGCTGTGTGACCTGAATAGATCGTTTAACCCCTCTGAACCTTGGTTTCTATACTGCAAAACGGAGGGGATAATGTGTATCTACCACATAGGATGCTGAGAGTTTGGAAAGTAATTTAGGTTACATTTGTGAAAACACTGAGCTCAGTGTCATCCTAACGCATTGCAGATTTGTTTGTAATATCAAAATAAACTAGATAATAGACTTAAATAATATCCTATTTTTGATAGCAACTTTCTTTAATATTCATAAATTACTCATATACATTGTGTTAAATAGCTTCCCCAGACTTTATGTATGTCAGAACAAAACTTGCAGAAAATCTTGACTTTACATCCACAAGGTAGGTTTAAGATTATGGTTAACTGTTAGTGATTAGAAAATGAAATGAAAATCAAATATAGTTTCTATGTCTGTTACACTTAGTGGGCAACTTAAAGAATACAGGGTGGATTTTAGATTATATTTGTTGGTATTTTTCATTTTTTTTTTATATTGTCTTTCATCCTCAAAACCACATTTAAAACAACAAATGAAAATTACATCTAAATTTGTTTCTTTGCCTCAAAATTTTGGCCTATATTTCTAAATCTAGAATTATCCCTGCAATGACATTTTCCACATCTCATTTTACACCTTGCCTTTTCCTTACAAATCATATTCTCTTTTCATCAGTACATCTGCCCAAAACGCTCTTCTACTTGACAGTTCTATCCCACACTCGCCTCTGAGCTCCTAACAAGCCATACCTCTGGGAATTGCAAAGTGCCATATTTAAAATCTCTCAGTGAGATATACAGGTTTTCCCGTGTGATCATAAGGGATTCCTCAAATTCTGAGTTTTAGAGCTAATCTACGACAACTGATAAGCACAGTATTTTCACATTAGCATATTTATGTTGTGCTAATATCCTTAAACAGTATGTATGTCCATTGAGAATTTTTCTACAAATTTCTTATCAGCTTTCTTTTAACTTTTAAGCAAGATGTCTTATGTGATGGGTATGACAATAATTCCATTATATTTCCCAAGTTAAATAGACTTATCCAAGTTGGAAGGGAGATGTCGTAGATGCCACAGATGCTCAATGGAAGACAAGTTGGCAATAAAAAGGAACATATTACTGATATAAACATGAACGAATCTTGAACATGTTATGCTAAGTTAAAGAAGCCAAACATGAAGGTTACACATCATATGAGTTCATTTATATGACTTTCTGGAAAAGGCAAAACTGTGGGGACAGAAAACAAATGAGTGACTTCCAGGAGATAGTAAGAGGACATTATCAACAAAAGGGCTTGAAAGGATTTTCGAGGTGATGGAAAAATCTCGAATGTGATGATGGTTACAAAACTGCATATATTTGTCAAATTCGTCTAACTACACTCAAGAAAAGTGATTTTTATAATATGTAACTTTAACCTCACTTAAAACATTTGAGTGGTTCAAGAATAAAAAATACTTTATAGTTTTGATAATTTTTAGGTTGTCTCTTTCCAGAGAAGTTTTGATTAATGCATATACATTTTTACCCATTTCTGTTCCCATCTTTAACTGTATGACATTCAGGCTAGTTTTAAATAGCTAAAAGCTACTTTAATGTCATTTATTCAGTATTTTGGGGAGCTGTGGCATGAAATAATACTTATCTAGCAATATTATAAATATTATGAGATATTATGAATTGTATGAAGAATATTATTAAGTAAAACTCTTAACCTGTGTGATATACCAACTACTTGGTTTTTATATCATTTTCTAATCACCAGCAATTAAGCAACAGTGCTATGAGATTATTGTATCTAATATTACTTTAATCCTGTGAGGTAAATTGTACTAACCCATTTTAAATGAGAGGAAATTAGGCTCAGTGCAACATCAAGGACAAATTTTACAAGTCCTTCTGATGCCAAAGTCAACAATTTTAACCCCATTTCACTTATTTTTCCCAGGTCAGTAGTAGTTCCAATTCTTATGGATGGGTATGTAAGTCCACAGAAATAAACTGTAAGGAATTCTTCTCTTGAGGTAGAGGTTTTCAAAAGGAATTAATACAATAAACAGAAAATCAGGATATGTAAGTTAGGGCATGCCCTTGTCATTCATATTAGCCATTAAGACTTTGATGGAAGTTTAGTTCAACATAGCAAAGGAAAAAAAAATTTCCAAACTCACAGAAGCTTCTAGTACAACTGCAATAGCAGACAGTAATAATATTCTTTTTGAGCAAACTATTTTTTGAAATCTTAAAGTGATGTTACCCCTGAACAGCTGTTTTCATAACCAATTAGCAGATCATGTACTTTATTAATTCTTCATATTTCATTAATTACCCTCCACTTTTTGGGATAATAAGTCAACAGTTTATATATAATACTTTTTATTTAAGTGACCCTAACAAGCCTAAATCTTTCTGGATAAAATTTACCCATGGGGGAAGACAAAAGTCATAAATCCTTACAAATTTGCATTAGCTCTCATATTATACGTGTGGAACTTTAAGCAGGGATATGTTTTTGATTCACTCCCCAGCAGCTGCTCATCCGTAGTGGAGGTTTTAACTGTAGCTTGCCAGGAACTCTTACCTTTTATTCATAATTGTCTGGGTGTGCCTTCCCTACTTGCATTGAACTGTATGTACTGTGTGCTGTAGAGGTGTGCAGTTAAAATACGTTTATTCTCAGAAATATTTTTAAAATATTTAAAAATGTTTTCCTTTGCAGAATCAGACACAAGTTTGGCAGAAGGAAGTGTCAGCTGCTTAGATGAAAGTCTTGGACATAACAGCAACATGGGCAGTGATTCAGGCACCATGGGAAGTGAATCAGGTACTGCCTAACTGTTGTGTAAACCTTAAAAAGTGTGAAATAAGACGCCATATAGTGGAAAGCATGGGGGCTGTTCATACCCTCCCTAATGTATTTATGCAATTAAAGCAATTCTTTTCTACAGTTGAAGTAGTTTTGGAACTTTGCCATCCACTTTCTGTAAAAGTACAACTTACCAAAGTCAAGCGCTCTAATTTTGATCCAGTACATATCTTTGGGTCTGGCATATGCCATATTCTGTAGAATCATATCATCGATTTCATTTATAGGATCTGCTCAATTAATCTGACTGTATTTAAATTCTACATCCAATTTTCTACATTAATTCCCAAACTCTCCTTTTTTAAAATTAAAATATATTTTAGGTAAAAATTTAATGCCTTCCATGAATGTGACTGTAGATAACTACAGATAACAAGAGTCCCTTTTCAAATGAAAAACCAGAAATTATACATATAGTTAAGAGTTCCAATTTGTATAAATATCTCTGGCATAGGAGTAGAGTTTGCAAAATATTTTCATCACTATATGAGAACTTTACTAGGTATTTCCAAAATTGCTCTCCATATTATTTGTATACCCCACCAGCAGTAAGTGAGAGAGTGCCTCTTCCCACACGTCAGCAGTATTTCATATTATCAGATTTCCTTACTTTTGTCAGATTGATCAATTCAAATCATTTCTTTCTGTTCTCTTTGTACATTTCCTTGACTACTGCTGAGCTAAAATGTTAACATATTTCAGGAATGGTTGATGAATCCTTGGATGTCTGTTGATGAATCATTTCTACATTTATCTGTATGTTTGAAATATTTCATAATTAAAAGTCGTAAATGACACACAAAATAAATATTGCTCTGCAATGTGACCAGCTAAGCAGTTTTTAACTGACAGGTTAAGAAATAATTACCTTATTCTTTATTTATTCTGTGATTGAGTTTTAGAAAAACCTTAGAAAATGTCAGATTCTTCAACTTATCATGTAGTTTCCAAAGAATGTTAGAAATTAAGATCCACAACATACCTAGAGGTGCAAAATAGTTTACATAAAGGTGGTCATTAGTTGTGAAATTTTCCAGGTTGGAAAATTATGCCTCTTTTATTTAAATGTCCCTTTTTCTCCTGAAGAAGTTGATTTGAAGAAACCCAATTCACCAAGTGTTAACTCTTAATTTTAATTTAAAAGGGATAATGTATTGTTCACTTAGTGTTTCTTAAGTTCTTGCCCTGTCCTTATTTCTGATGAATATGTTCATTTTTCTATGCTTATTATGTAATTGTTAAATTTGATAATTGACATGTCTATTAAATGCTGTTAATGCTATAACTCAATATATATTTTAGCTAATATTTAACATTTTTATGGATTATTTTAAGCTTCTGGATATTATCCTAAGTTTTGTTTGTCTAAGTAAGGGCTTTTCAACAGCATTCATTCACTAAATTCTTAATGGGTGTTCTGTGTGTGCTGGGCATTTGTTCTACTTAGAGCTGTTAGCAAATATAACTATTTACTGATTTTCAGTCCTCAATGTGGCATGAAAGACGTGATAAATCTGAATGCAACCTGCTTTTAAAAAGCAAACACATTTTCAAAGGCAAATCCATCTGAAGACAAACACATTTTCAGAGGGCATCCATTGAAGTTCGAGATGGGCTAGTGCTTAAGAACAAATAATTGTTTTGCATAGCAGGTAGTAAAATTCTGAAATTATAAAATTCTGAAATTCCTTTCTCTCAGGTGCCTGACGTAGGTTGAAACAGAATCAAAATTCAAATAAGGATATAGAGAGAGTGTGAATTGTTAAACACATATTGAATCATCGAAAAACCTTACAGTGTTTGGGATTATATTTTAACCTTTGAGGTTGACATGAAAGCAACTTTATTCCACATATTCTTTGCCCACTTTCAAAAACATCCATGATGAATCACCAGAATTATGGACATGACCCAGTGCCATACCATGAGGTTCTCTTGTGCAAGGATTATACCATAGTAAAACATATTTAGTGGTACTTTGAACTTTAAATATTCTAATTACACCATGGAAGGCTTTTTGTTTTTCTGTTTCTCATTCTCAGAGAGATACACACTGCTTCTCACAAAGTGATGATATTTTTGGCAATACACATTGGCCTGATATGTATAAAGTGTTTCCTTACTATTTCGAGGTAATACCTATTAATATTTGTCCAGCTGGAATGGTGTATTTTTCCGTGGTTACATACTATAGGTAAAGGAATACTTTGTCGATTTCAAACACATGCAGTGACAGACCTTTTCTCTCCAAGAATAACTCAGCTGTCAAAATCAATGTGAGAATGAAATTTGCCACATGGTGTAGTTCCAATAAAATGTTATTATTTAAGCCCTATTTGATTTCATTTTTTGACCATTTATATGGTACAGTATAATTTTAAACTCTTCAATCAGTGTTTGTTGTAGGGGAAGGGCACAATGTTATTCAAAGCTTGTGCATATTTTAAATACCATTTTCATTATTGCATTTAATTGATTTTGCTTTTCAAAGAGAGCCAAAAAGAAACAAACAACAAACAAATAAAAACCCAAACATTTTTCTATAAAGGAAATTGGCTCCTGGCTCACTGACACCAGCCCAGTTCTCTCCTTCTGGTGACAGAGAACAGAAAATCTTCTTTCATTGCTTATGTGGATAAAATCTTCCATCTCTATGTCAGAGGATGTGATAAGGCAAGAATCAGGCTGAATATTTAGCACTCACCCAGTTCTTTTTCTTTGGATGCTGTTCTCACAATGATTCCAACTCTAAAATTTTTCCATATTCACTCTGTGCTTCTCTCTTAAACTTGGGGCTACCCATTATAACCTTATTCTAAAATAAGGAAAATTATGAACTCTCTGTCTACATAGCTCAATATTTTGGGGCAGCAAGGTAGTACCCTAGACTTTGAAGCCACAAGGACAAGGTTTGTATTATTGGGAGTACATTGTACGTAATAGACAGTAAATATTTACTGCAGAGTGAATTTGTGGTCTGTGATTGGTTAAGTAACAATAAAATGTCATAGTTTCAGTCCTAGAATTAAATTTTGAACATGATAGCCTGTTTAACATTCTAACTCCTCTTAAATTTATTAGTACAACAAACAAGTAGTAACATGCATAAGTGATATTGATGTTCTACTCACTTCTACTCATTTGACTTAATTTTAGAATCCTGGGAAAGAAACTTAGAAATGGCTGTAAGTTTATCTTTTTAATGTTTTTACCCAGGGAAATAGTAGTAAGCATAAAAATACAAAAGCAGAGAATGGTTATTTTAAAAAAATAACATGCAACTATTTTGAAGGTAGCAGAACTTTATAATTTTTTTTAAATCTATGCAAAAATGTACCTAAGGTAAAATTAGACAAAGAGAATTTGTTAAGATCTTTTAACAAGTTTCCTAGATCAAATAATAATTTAACAAAAGTTAGCTCATAGGTCTTGGTGCTAAACTCAATTTATAATGCATTTTCCTTTGCTAATATTCAGACACACTTGGAAAAATTAAATGATAAATGCACATAATATAGGTGGAATATTAGAATGTTGATCATTTTTATGAGTTAACTTAGCACAGAAGTAGTGGTAATTTAAAATGAATTTGAACCTAATGTAACTGAAGATGAATTATTATAATTGCAACAGAGTTCAAAACAGCACAGAAAGAAATCTTGTAAATATATATTTTTAAATGTTGGTGATCTTGAATGAATTTTCCTAAAATTCATAACAAATGAATCAGCAGATGACCCAGTGATAACTTAAATGGGTTGCATCTGTGTTTACTCAGCCATACTGAAGGCAAATTTCCTGTCACATTGGTAGATGACTCTTACTAAGTGGTATTTGGTGTGAATTTTCCTACCTGTCAGATAGTACTATCACAACAAGGTAAAACCCAGTTAAATAGAGTCATTCAGTTGCTGAAATGGAATCATCAGCAACTTTTTTGAAGTTAATGGGATTATGTTAGTTTAGTTTTATTGCAATCATTGATAAGAGAAAGAACACTTACCTCATGTGTAATGAAATACTGATAAGTGCTGTCATTTCATTTTTTTCTTGCGATTACTTAAAGCGCAAGATGGGTTTTTAAATTGATATAATATTTATTTTACTGCATTCCACATGATAAGTTATGAATTTTTAGATATATTCCCCTTGGCTAGTATAATAAATATAGTCACTTCTAGACAAAATATATTTAAGCCAAGATAGAATGATTTTTAAAGTACTTGAAATGAATGCATGTTAATATTCACTTTATCTGTATTTGGAGTTTAGAAATCTAAGTTAATTGGAAATATTATATTGTGATTTGACTTTTAGGAAAGTATTAATTCCCAGAGAGAGAGAGAGAGAGATAATGAAGTGATAAAGATCTCAATTCAAAACTATAAATGGCAAAATTAGACACAATGAAGTGAAAATCAACAAAATTGTTTTTCACTTACCAGTGAAAATCTACCAATTAAAGGCTAGCATGGGAGGAGATTTCACACTTCTCCCTAAATATTGCTTCTGCTTAATCTTGTTGCCTTACATATGGGTATTTGGTATTTGGTTGTCAGATAAAGTTTCTGCAAATGAAGGAGCATAGCATCAGCTACCCCTTTACTGAAATAAAAAGTAAAGGGAAGGCAGCTCATGTTCCAAGAATATCTGCCTGTGTCCTAAGCAAGCTTCTCTTTTTCATTTTTCATTTTTCCCTTTCAAAAGCCACAGCACAAACAACTGTGGTGATAGTTCACGGGTGCTGCAGTGCGGGAGACTTATGGGGACTACATCTGAGAGGAGAAATCAAATATTGTACAAAGATGAACAATGATATAAAAATTTAAAAATTAATTAAAAATAATAAAAAGAGCTCCAGCAGCAGTGACTCTCTGCTTACCTCTATCTCTTTTTTCTTTTCCCTAACGAACCTGTGCTTTCAAAGTGAAAAAGAAAAGTAAGGGGAATATAGAACAAGAAGGTGTAAAGATTTCTACTTTTCCAATTCCTTTCGATTGTGGGCAGAAGGGCCAAGAGAAAAGAGTGAGGCATAATGTTAACCAAAAAGCACAAAGTTTGATGCATGAGCTGCCATTTTTGTGCCACAGCCCTTTTTGAAATTTCCCCTTTGTTTTACCCCATTTATGAAAAGTCTCCCCCTCCCAGTGCTCCATCCTGTTCATTCAGGCCTCACCACCCCTTGCCCAGCCAAGTCAATGGTAAAACACCTAGGTTGTATTCCACGAATGCAAACAGACAGCGGGTACAGAAAATAGAAATGAATTGGTTTAGACCCCCATGAAGAGGAATTTAAAAGACAAGAGGCCAATATCCAATTTCAGGCTTCCTAGCTTTGATTATTTTCTTGACCACTTCCTTATTTTTCTTTCTTTTAAATGCCTTCAGATGAAGAGAATAAAGTGGAAAGATCATCCCCTGAGCCAGAACTGCAGCTCAGGCCTTACCAAATGGAAGTTGCTCAACCAGCGTTGGAGGGGAAGAATATCATTATATGCCTCCCTACAGGTAGTGGGAAAACCAGAGTGGCTGTTTACATTGCCAAGGACCACTTGGACAAGAAGAAAAAAGCCTCTGAACCTGGGAAAGTTATAGTTCTTGTCAACAAGGTATTGAATGGGCAGTTAACCTTGTTTAGTTTTTGAAGCTTCTGTATAATAACTTTTGTAACAATGCATCGCACACATTAAGTTTAATTGGAAGTAATGTCAGCATAAATAATTTTACATCTTTGATTTTTCATTTATACTTGAGACCTAAGTTATTAGCCTTTAAAATAGAATGTTTCCCTAAAATCAGAATTTTAAATCAAATAGCTACAATTTATGTATAAAGAGTATATTTACTCAGATATTCTTTCAGGTTGATGGATACTAATTTATCATTGCATTTGATCTGGAAATATCACTGGAATCTAAGATCAAATATTGCCTTTTAGATTTTCTTTAACTGCTAGTTCTTAGTCAAAGGTGACAAGTTCTCTTTATCCAGTATATGTGTGTGTGTGTGTGTGTATTGGTTTGAAGATAAAGAGAAAATATTTGACTGATTTATATCAAGTTTAGTAGATAAATATTTTAAGTATTTGTGTGTATGCACATATATAGTATATAATTAAAAAATTAAATGCAATTGAGATTTCTTTAATAATTAATATCTTGTGGTATTTGAAGACCATCTTCATAAACAGGTGTAAGTGTCCTTCAGTGTAAAACAACATCTAGTTATTTGAGGTTTATTCAGATAAATGGATTTATTAAATGATACATTTGTAAATGAGAGGTTACTAATCTTCACCAATTCATGGAGTAAAATTGAGTATACTTTTCATCACCAGACAGTCTTTTTCCCTGTTTCTTATTGTAATTATTTTCTCATTTATTCCTTTACAGGAATTGTAGTAATAGACTATACAATTCTTATATTTCTTGGATTTCTATTATGCCAAAATTTTTAGTTACAAGTTACTTCTCAGTTCATCTTAAAGAAATATAGTCAGAATATTTGACCTGAATATTTTCAATCATGCATTCAAATGCACTCTATATGTATCTATAAAGTCTAAAGACCTTCTCCTATATACTTGAATGCCACTATTAGAACATCAGTTTCTTTTGCATAATGGTGATACATTTGAATTTCTGTAACTTTTCATATATTCCCTGTATTAAGGTTTTTACCTTCTGGAATAAAAGGAATGTAGGCTTGAATGCTCTTTCCACCTTTAGTTTGACCTCAGAGAAGTATCATTTATTTTGAGTGTATAAAATAATACTATTCTCTATAGTTGTTCTGTAGTAAACTGGATATTTATCTACCGCCTACGGATGATTCATTAAATATTAGTCCTTTTGCCCATTCCTCTTCCTCACCTTTCAAATTAAATGAAAGGGAATTCCTTAATCAGTGCCAGGTCCAAAAAAAGAAGTTAACTAATTCAAAACCACTTAAGCATAACATTTAAGCACTTCCTAAAATTTAGCTTCATTATCTTCATTATCTACCCTTGCAAAGGACCCTCCTTTCTTACATGTTTCTCTGTTAGCTACACCATCTCTTCCAAAACATGTAGTTTCAAAACCTAGGAAATAGTTTTGATTCTTCTGCGTTCTTCACTTTTCTTATCAAGCCACAATGTCATGGACTATTAGAGTTGAAAGAGACCTTCAAGATCCAGCAAAGTTTTCATCCATTGCAGAGTGGTTCTCTCACCTCTACTGAGAAACCTCTAATATTAAAGAGATCCCTCTTCTGACAAGACAGCTGGATTCATTCTTTGAACTGACCCTTTCAGAAAGCCATACATGTATTCATCAAAATCTTTTCTCTAGAATTCACTCATTGGTTAGTTCTTTCTTTTGTTATTATATATATATATATGTATGTATATAATATATGTAATATGTATTTCTTGTCTGTGACAGCCTTTCACATAGAAAAAATAGTATCAGTCAACCCCATGTTATTTTTCTGTTTGTTCCATGGAATAAATATTGCCAGTTCCTTTAGCTGTTCTTTATAAGATATGATTTCCAGACATTTCATAATTCTCAGTGCTCATACATTTCCCAGACATTTATCTAAGAAACTCTCAAAACACAGTGCCCAGGGTTGAACAAAGTATTATGGATGTGATCTTATCAATCGGACTGGTGAGATAGGGCATTTAGTCCATGACTGAGTTTGCCTTTGTCACCAGTGCCAGCAGCCACAAACTCATCAAGGGCTGCTGTTCCTTTTCATTTGAAAGTCCATTAAACTAGTACTCTTGTAAGTTATTTTTTTGTAGTTAACTTTTTGTAGTTAACTTTTTTTTTTTTTTTAAGATTTATTTATTTATACAAGCACTGGGGTACAGGCCAGAGGCGCAGGAGGGTGAGAGAATTCACCAGACAGAGCAGGGAGCAGAACAGGCAGAAGGACCGAAATACACTGCTGAGGGGAGCAGCGGGCGAGACAGGAGAGGTCTACCGCCGCTCCATGTGGGAATCACCCTGGCCAACCGGGAATCGAACCTGCACTGAGGAGGCTGCAGACAGCTTCACAGCGCTGGGCTCAACCTGCTGCGCCACTGGGGAGGCCCTGTGTAGTTAACTTTTGACCCTAAATACAATACTTATGTTTATTTTTCATATCTTTTATGTTGATAGGCCATTTCAAGTTTCATGTTTTGTTATAAGTGTAATGTACCTTCCTTTTTATAATAACTCCTCTTAATGTCATATTCTGATCATAAATCTTTCATCCCATTGCTTCTAGATGATTGATATGAGCCCACAATTCACAGCTATGTTTACGTATTAAATTATCCTTCATAACTATTCACATTCATTGCATTGTACTGTGGACATTCAAGGACAGAAAACTGATTCCTGATCTGTTTCTCTATTGTTTTCCCCAAGAATTATGGAAAATCCCTCCACTAATTTTTCCATCTATGTCATCACTACTTTATTATCCTATTTCTTTGAATTTTTAAAGTAATTTCAACTCTACTTCTTTTTGATTGTGTCAGAAAATTTCTGGTCTAGTTAGTCAACATGACCTGCATTCTGTGTTTATCCCAATAACAAGGTATTATAACCCTTGATCTAGAAAAGAAAAATCCTATACTCTAACACCATTTGCTTCCATCTCCCTTCCTTCATCCTTTCCAAACTTATAGCCTTCAAATGCAGGAAAAATGAAAACACCACCTGTGTTCCCAGACTTTCTATTTCCTATCTAGGGCTTCAACATCACAAGAGATAAATCCCAGGTTCCTTCAGATGCTGTAATGCAGCCCCATATGATTCAGCAGAAGTGGGTAGCAGTTGGGTTTGATTAGTCTTGGCAGGCACTCTGTCACATCTCAGGAAAAGGCTCCAAGAGGACCACACACTCCCAATTAGCCATGTCAGACTTGCATCTGGCTCTCCCTGTGTCCTTCAAAAGGACGTCAACACCACCCAGAGTGAGTATCAGCATTTCCTACACCTGTTACCTCCTGCCACAACTTATTTTTGTTCTGTAGAGCAGAAGATGCTACTTCTTTGGAAGGTCTTGACTTACCCTTTGTGGGCAGAACCTCAGGTGACTGTCACTCCATGGTATAGCTATTCTTAATCATTCAGCAGCATGAGGGTGTTTAAAGAAAAATGTAGATCCCATCCTCAAGGAATCTGCAGTCCAGGGAATGAGTGATGTGTACTCATAATCTAAGTCAACACTTTATTATACTTTATTTTTATCTCATTAATGCCACACAGCTTGTCTTTGAGGGACCATAAATATCCCCATTTTACCCATCAGAAAATTGAGACTGAGTCTTTAATTGGCCTGCCAGGGATTATCCAGACAATAAGCAGCTGATCTGAGACTTGAACCTTTTTTCCCTGAAGTCAACTGGTCGCTTTCCACCATACTCCACCATTAGAGTAAAAAGATATGTGAAATATTAGGAAGTTTTCTGAGTACTGGCAGTGTGTCAACCTCTATTTCAATTAACTTTTACAACAACTCTCTTGTGGGTTGACATTATTCTCATTTTATTAATGTGGAAATTGAGAGAATTGAGATGAACAGGTAACTTGTCCAAGGTCACACAATAAGCAAGTAGTCTGAGCAGCTGTTTTTAGAACTGACTTACTTTCTTCTGGATCATGCTCTCTTTCCACTAAATTTAATTTCCATTTTCTTCCTCAGAATTTTTCTTTCTGATTTCTTTCTCAGATTATTTTCTTTGCCTTGTATGAGTAAACTGAAAATAATAATTCCAGGAAAATGAATGAGAAACCACTTTGTGGAAGAGAGAAGAGTATGATTCTCAAATTTTAAAGACTTTAATATCACATTGGAAGCCCATAAAAATTCAGTTTCAAGATTTTGTTCATAGTTTTGGGGTGGGGTCCCGGAGTCTGTATTTTCCAAGCCCTTCAGGCAATTTTGTGGCAGATAGACTAAATCCTTCACTGAAAAATTATAAAGCAATTAAAAAGTAACCACTCTTACTGTTCTTTCCATTATATCATGTTCTTTTATTTACCAAACCTAGTTATTGATTTTATTTTTTTTAAGATTTATTTTATTTTTGCATGCAAGAGCTGGGGTATAGGCCAGAAGAGACAGAATGGCGAACAGAACAGGCAGATCTACTGAAATACTCTGCTGAAGGGAGCAGCAGGCAAGACAGGAGAGTTCTTCTGCTTCATATGGGTAGCTCCCTGGCCAGGGATCCAACTCGTGCTGCAGTGGCTGTGGATAGCACATGGCTGTGCCATGTGCCACCAGGGAGGCCTGGTTATTAATTTTAAGTCCAACTTGCTTCCTTGGGATTTTCTGATTCCACTTCCTCCTCCATATTTGCATTTGAAACCTTCATTTTACTAAATAATAATACAAAAGCAATGTTCTTCATACACTATTTTCCTGCCATGGGGATCACCTTTTCACTTATTTTTCATTTCTCACCTCAAGTGAAAAGATGAATAACATATGATGGGCAGAGCAGTGGAAAGGGTGCCACTGATTACATTTCAGGCTACTACATCATAAGGAATACAATGAGTATTCTTTGATGCTTACCTTTGAAACTCTTCTTGCTAGTTATCTATTTGCCACATTGTATGTACCTGGGCTTCCATTGTGTAAATTCTCCTAAGATAAGAAGGCTCAGTCATTCTTTGTCCTTAATCCAGGAGTTATTCTGAATGGCTGGTAATGTGTAGCATTGTGTTGTCAATTCATCTTTACAAGGCACTGATAAACAAAGTCAGCAGAAAGAACTGTCTTATTTTGGGGGGGAAGGGAGTTGAGTTTTTTTCCTAACAAGAAGCCAAACCTTTGTTAACACATTGAACAGGTTTAGCTATTACTGAAAATGCTAATTTATGAACTTAAGTTGGGGCAGATGGCTATGATGCAAGGCAACGGCATGCAAGACTTAGGAACTTACAGGCGCTCCTCTGACAGAAGATTAGGTGTATTTTGCAGTCAGGAAGAATGTGGTCATTTTACCGCTGCCTGCCTGAGAGATGAGAATCTGCTCGTCAGGGGTCATGCCTCCCTTACCCTCGATCCTGGCCTTCATGTTCTCAGTGGAGTCACTCTCCCAGTTCCAGGGATGGTCTTACTAGTGGTGAGAGCCTTCGTGAAGATTTTCCTATTGACCTATTAGCAAATTTGAAGATACGGTGGATTAATTACTTCAAGTCAACACAACACAGCTCAATGCCAACACATTAGACAATGCCAGTTATCTCAGAAAAAGTTTTCACTTTTTTAGCCAAGTTCTTGCTCAGCCACTAAAGCTATTCTAGTTCATTCCTTCACCCCACATCCCTTCTCCCAGGCAGTCCTTATGTAACAGGGTGGTCCCCAGGAAAGGGGGAGGTTCCCTGCCCCACCCAAGGGAGGGTGGAGCTGAGCAGGAAGAGGAGAAGCTGCAGAAGAGACTGAGGAAGGAAGGAAGCAGGATGGAGTCAGAAGGAGACCTGGAGGAGGCGCATGGAGCCTAGAGACACGTGAAGAAACTGCGCTTGTCTTTTGGTCGTGGACGGGGTGACACAGATGTGGGTGAGACCCATGGGGAGGTGACAATGGCAGCTTTTATCTTGATGTTGATTTTGCTCTTTTCCTTCCGGGCTTGTCTGCTTGTTTCTGACCCTTTGCTGTGGGTCCCCACTGGAAGATGCTTTAGACTTGTGGCAGGCTTTGGGGCCTTGCTCTGGGCCAATCCCATATGGATGGACTTTTACCCACGAGGGGACGGGTAACTTTGGGTGCTTGATTTAGAAACTAGACTCTTTGCCTTTCCTGTATTGTTTCCTAGTTTTATTAAAGTTCCTTCCCATTAAAGTCTCATGTTTTGTGTTGATGAGGCGGATGGCAGAACCCATTTAGAATAGGCAGGTTTGCGGGGGTTTGGGCTGCCCCTCTCCCTGTCCTATAACAGATTTGGCGCCCAACGTGATTTAAAATCTGTTATAGGACAGGGAGAGGGGCAGCCCAAACCCCGCAAACCTGCCTATTCTAAATGGGTTCTGCCATCCGCCTCATCAACACAAAACATGAGACTTTAATGGGAAGGAACTTTAATAAAACTAGGAAACAATACAGGAAAGGCAAAGAGTCTAGTTTCTAAATCAAGCACCCAAAGTTACCCGTCCCCTCGTGGGTAAAAGTCCATCCATATGGGATTGGCCCAGAGCAAGGCCCCAAAGCCTGCCACAAGTCTAAAGCATCTTCCAGTGGGGACCCACAGCAAAGGGTCAGAAACAAGCAGACAAGCCCGGAAGGAAAAGAGCAAAATCAACATCAAGATAAAAGCTGCCATTGTCACCTCCCCATGGGTCTCACCCACATCTGTGTCACCCCGTCCACGACCAAAAGACAAGCGCAGTTTCTTCACGTGTCTCTAGGCTCCATGCGCCTCCTCCAGGTCTCCTTCTGACTCCATCCTGCTTCCTTCCTTCCTCAGTCTCTTCTGCAGCTTCTCCTCTTCCTGCTCAGCTCCACCCTCCCTTGGGTGGGGCAGGGAACCTCCCCCTTTCCTGGGGACCACCCTGTTACACTTACAGTTTCATTTGTGGTTCTCTGCTCCCTCCTATCCTTTCATCGTGTTACCCCTGGCCCAATCCCAAAACAAATAACAGGAGTAGATCAACTGTACAATATAACTCAAAAGGGTCCTGGGAGCTCTTGTGCTAAACTGAAAATACTCCCATATTAACTGTCCTTTACAAACTGTCCCTGCTCTGGAAATTCAAAATCTGTTTCTTTTCCAACCTTAGTTTTGATTGATCTTTTCACTAACCCAGGGCTTACAAATCTAAAATTCTTTCTAAACCCTTTCTTTGAGCAGTCAGTTGTTTCTTCTTTGCAGATACTTGGTATATATACCTATGGGAGAATAATTACATTGTGTTGTAATAACTGTTTGGTTTGGTTTAGCATGATCAATGTAAGGGAAATATCTTTGTGACCCAAAGTGTCAGCGCTTAGTAGGCATTCAATAAATATTTATTGACAACTGAATGAATGGAATGATGGATAGGTTGTTATGCTTAATTAACTGGTAACGTAAAGGTTTCTGTTAAAGATTGGCACAGAGTAGGCTTTTGATCAATAATCCTTTAGCTTTAACCATGCTCTCTCCCTCTTTTTTTTAAAAAAAAAATCTTGGTATTTCTAAAGGTTCCATTAGTTGAACAGCTTTTCCGCAAAGAGTTCAATCCATTTTTGAAGAAATGGTACATTATAAAGAGAATAAGTGGTGATACTCAGTTGAAAATATCATTTCCAGAAGTTGTCAAATTCGGTGATGTTATTATCAGTACAGCTCAAATTTTGGAAAACTCACTTGTAAACTCAGAAAAAGGAGAAGATGCTGGTGTCCAGTTGTCAGGTTGGTTGAAGTATTTCTTTTTGAAAAATAAGTAATAATAAGTGATAGTAACAGAGGCTGTATTAGTTAACCAATGTTTTAAATGTTGATTTTGAAAGGATTAACTTAGGTTAGATTGTCCTGCATTGCTTGCGTTTTATTAAATTGCTCTGCTTCCTTGAGAAAACAGTTTGATACATTTTTAATTCAAGCACTTAATACATTACTAAATCAAGCACTCATATTGACTTATTTCTAGATATTGACGAGTTCTTTATATATAGGGAGAGAAATACAAATAATCATGATAATATTTATAATAATAAATGCAATGTAAAACTAAAACAAAATTATCCCTGTTTAAATGGTATGGTTTTCATTTGACATAAAAATAAAACCCTCCAATTTAAAATTAATTTTATTAAAGAACTAAAGTATTATCAAGAATTTCTGGAAATAAGTCAGGGTTTGAATTCCAAAATCCATCAATTAAATGGGCATAAAATTTAATGGTGATCATTGCATGATTGATATGTATGAATTTCTGTACTAAGGTGACTAGTATAGTTACATTTCTTGCTTAAAAAGTCAAAAGAGGCTGTGCCATTATTGTGCCTAAAAAAAGATGGCCCAGTGACATCTCAATCAACTAACTTAATTTTTCCACTGTGTCTTGATGGTCTGGATAAATGAACCATTTGAATTTTCTTTTAAGACTTTTCCCTTATCATCATTGATGAATGCCACCACACCAACAAAGAAGCAGTTTATAATAACATCATGAGGCGCTATTTGGAACAGAAATTGCGAAACAATACGCTTGAAAAAGCAGGCAAACCAGTGATTCCTCTGCCTCAGATACTGGGACTAACAGCCTCCCCTGGTGTTGGAGAAGCCAAGAAGCAAGCCAAAGCTGAGGAGCACATTTTAAAAGTAAGTCATTAACTTCATATAAACATCAACAACAACAAAAACCCAAAGCTGAGGTGAATGCTGGTGCTTCTGGGTTTTTAGGTCCACATATCATGGAGTGTTCCACAATCATCAATAAAGTGATGTTTCCTTTAGCTAAGGTAAATCTACTCAATCTTCTACAAAACAGTTATATGCCTTAATAAATAAATACATTAATAAATATCTATGATATGGAACAGTATCCCCAAAGGTATGGAGAGTTGATATAATTAATGAAAAGTTGTGGCAAATGAAATATCATCTTTTAAATATCTACTTCTATCATTAAACTTAATGATCTATTTGATACAGAAATATGCTTGAAAACTTCTGATTTTCATACTCCATAAGTTTCAAAATTGCAAATTTTCTGTTGTTCTACGTGATTCTTAGGTTCTAGATAATTCTAATTAAACGCAATATTGGAGCTATAAGACTATTTAATTAAATATATATTACTTGCTAGTTACCCCAAAGTGGCAATAGCACATACAACTGTTGATCTCAAGTATTAAATGAATCCAATGTGACCCAAAATGTATATTGTCTCCAAAACAACTGCATTTGTAAACAATTGCATTTGTAATTTGAGTGCCATACTTTAAATGGAATTCAGTGAAAATCATGTAGTGTAGACAGAGGCACAATTATTTGTTCCAATATATAATTTACTATTAGTGAGATGAACTAATTTCAATGTAGGTCCAGGTTTATGAGTTTGAGGTACAGGTCCTACTGTTGCTTTGTGTTAGTTAAAGAAGAGGATAGTAATGTGACTCAGGGATGTCAAAAGGCCCTTTTAATTATATACCCCCATGCACTATAATTATCTCAGAGCTATTCTCTGCAGATTTCTGCAAGTTGTTATACTCTTCTCATGCCCGATTTCCAGTTGGAAAATGGCATTTAGAAAATGAAAATAAGTACACTTTTTTTCTGAAATTGTCCCACCAACTTGATTTATAAACTTTTTTTTTAATATTAGGACAAATGTTAATTGGTTATTAGTTTATCAGATCCACAATAAAACAACAGTAAAAATCTGTAATTAGCAAGTAATGCTACCTATGTCTCACATGAAAAAGAATTATCAACACTGAACAGTTGAATTGGGGAAATAATTATTTGAATATTGAAAAAATTTCTCTCTTCCAGATATGTGCCAATCTTGATGCATTTACCATTAAAACTGTGAAAGAAAATATTGTTCAACTCAAAGACCAAATAAAAGAGCCATGCAAAAAGCTTGAAATTGCAGATGACCCTAGAAAAGTATGTGCTTAAAATCTTATATTTATTTGATTAGTGATAACACATTGAAAGAGATAAAGACTAGTTTATACCTATTATTCAAGCAATATCATTTTAAATTTAAAGTGAAATGTACATGTGATGATCAGAGATGAACTAATTGCTTTGTCTAGACAAAAATAAATTAAAAAAAGAATCATTCCCCAAAAAATTCAGAATCAAATTTATTAGTAGGTTAAAATCATTTTAATAATTTTCTTCCTTGAACAATACAGACATATAAGAAGTAGTGTATAATTTCTTTTTAGGATCCTTTTAAAGACAAGATTCTAGAAATAATGACACAAATTCAGAGTTTTTGCCAAATGAATCCAATGTCAGATTTTGGAACTCAACCTTATGAACAATGGGCCATTCAAATGGAAAAAAAAGGTAACTTGTGTTTCAACCTAATGGTTTATTCTGTATTTATGCCAAAATTCTGCTATGTCATATATTCCCATGAAAACAGAAAGCAAATGTAATATTAAATGGAATTTCTGTGTTCTGAGTAGAATAAGGATAAACAAGTGCTAATTCCTTATCTAGGGAGAGACACACAAATTCATGTTTTTTTTTCTTTATCTCCAAAATCGTTCACATATTGTACATTTAAAATATTAAGGTAAATATTTAACAGTCCTGTCTCCAAATGCAAACACATCTATGTTTTTCATGTCATTCTTAAGAGTCAGCATGGCTCAGCTATGGATTCTGCTGATGCAGAGTTCAGGCAATAAATCTAGGAGCTGAAAAACTTGCCCCCTTTTAGAAGCCATGACACTTTTTTTAAAAAAGATTTATTTATTTATGCATACAAGAACCGGGGCACAGGCCAGAGGTGTGGGGGGTGAGAGGATTCACCTCACCAGAGACAGAGTGGGGAACAGAACAGGCAGACTGACTGAAATACACTGCTGAGGGGAGCAGTGGGCAAAATGGGGTAGTGCCATGTGGGTAGTTCTGTGGCCGGGGATGGAACTCTTGCTGCAGTGGCCGTGGATAACTTCATAGGTTGTGTCTTAACCCCTCGAGCCACCAGAGAGGCCCCAGGAAGCCTATTTTGGAGTCAATATCTTGAATATGTTCAGGACCTCAGCACACATTTAGGGGAATGTTCTATGGTCATTTCACTATACTTATATTCTTTCACAGCTGCAAAAGAAGGAAATCGCAGAGACCGTGTTTGTGCAGAACATTTGCGGAAGTACAATGAGGCCTTACAAATTAATGACACGATCCGCATGATTGATGCATATAATCACCTCAAAACTTTCTATAAAGATGAGAAACAAAAGAAGTTTATAGTTCTAAGTGACAGTGATGAGGATGGTGGTAACTGTGGCCATGATGATGGTAATAAAGATGGACATGATGAAGACAACCCTGAGAAACTTATGAAACTGCATGAAACAGATAAATTTCTTATAACTTTATTTTATGGTGAGAGTCAACATAATATTTATCACATTGTCTCATGCATTTACCATTTCAACCTGAACCCACTTCTATTTGAAGAATTTTTCAAAAGTTCCTCTCAAAATATCATTTTGAAAAAAGAAATCCCTCTCATATTGGGTTTTTTTTTAATGTGACCACATTAGCCATCTGTTATATGATCACAGTCCCTTTGTTCATAGGGTTTTATTATCAAAATGACTGCAATCAATTTATCTCTTAATTAAAATAAATAAATTAATTAAATTAACTGAGTTGATGATTAGATATTGCACAAGACTAACGGTAGTTGAATCACATTTTATTTCCTTGTTACAAAAAATCTTTCAGTGTAATTAATCACATTAGTTGCTAATTTTAATTAATTATTTCTTAAAGACAACAAAAGGAGTTTGAAAAAACTGGCTGAAAAAACAGAATATGAAAATGAAAAGCTGATCAAGTTAAGAAACACGATAATGGAACAATACACAAGGACTGAAGAATCAGCACGAGGAATAATTTTCACAAAAACACGACAAAGTGCATACGCGCTTTCCCAGTGGATTTCTGAAAATGAAAAATTTGCTGAAGTAGGGGTCAAAGCCCACCATCTGATTGGAGCTGGACACAGCAGTGAGTTTAAGCCTATGACACAGGTATACATTTCCTTTTAAATTTATTTTCTTATGTTGTTGTTATTCTTCCCAATTTAACTGTAGCATTTTCTTAATCAATTCTCTCACCAGTTCACAAATAATTTTACAGAATGAGTCATTCTGGAAACATACTGTGAGTTTAACGCAATCTAATCTGTGTATTTGATGGGCTAAACAATGTCCTAAGAATCATTTTTTCCCTCCATACTCAAAGGATCTCTTTAAATTGAATTTCCTTTGCAAAATGATTGAAATTTAAGTCTAATAACAAAATGGAAAAATAGTTACATTTTAAGATTAAATGGAACAGTCAAATCCCAACAAAAATATGTGCATTATATTTAGAACTGCATAAAATGTGCTTTTCAATGGGATGAGACCTGTAAAGGAGCTTGAAAAAAATTAAAATATTGATATGTAAGATATTTGGACTGTGAACAATATTCCTTTCCTTTTAAAGTTTTTGTTTTGGTTTGTTTTCATTTCATTATACAAGTTATTGTGTGCACAATAAAAAAATTTGGGAGAAGAAATAAAGGATTTATAGACATTGAAAGCATGGGTTAAACAATGATGTATTTTTAGAATAGAATGCTCTCTTTAGGTCATATTAATCCTGAAGCTTGTGGGATGAAGGGACATTTTCATTCTGTAATTGTCATAATCATTTAGACCAATAGAACAAATTAAATCTGTTTTAGTATTTGCTAGGAAAAAAGTCTTCTTGAAATTATCCAATATACCTTTTTTTTTTTAAGATTGATTTATTTATTTATACAAGCACTGGGTACAGTCAGAAGTGTGGGAGAGAGAAATAATTCACCAGAGCCAGAGCAGGGAACAGAACAGGCAGACTGATGAAATACACTGCGGAGGGGAAGGTCTGCGTGCCATGTAGGACCCTCGCCAGCGGCCGGGATTGAACCGGCACTGCAGAGGCTGCGGGCAGCCTCGCAGCCCAGCACTCAACCACTGCGCCATCGGGGGGGGCCCCAATATAACTCTTAATATACTCTCTATATGTACTCATTTTAAAGTTGTTTGCCTCTAAAATTTATCCCAGATTAAGTACTGCTTTTCTTTTGAACAAAGGAGAGCTTGAGTATGTAATGTTTCCCTTTTAGCCTTGACTGACAGGAAAAGTGCATGCAAAATTGAATTTCCTTCTCACAGCCCCTGTGTTGTTATTTTTAATTATTTTTTCTTTTTGAGGTAAAATTGGTTTACAACACATATATGATTTAGGAGAACAGATTCACATCTCCATAGATGTATGTTACCTCACCAACCCCAACATCAAAGAACCCATAGTTCTTTACTCTAGACTATTGGCTCCCCCTCCCCACTTTGTTCCTACTCCCACCTTCCCATCCCCTCTAGTAGCCTCAGTTAGGCAGTCATTTTGCTAGGGTTTGTTTGGTTTAGTTTCATCAATTCCTTTGCTCCCTCCCCCACCTCTTCTGCATATGAGTGAAATCATCCAGTATTTGTCTTTGTCCTTCTGACAATTTCATTTAGTATAATCCCCTCTACTTACATCCATGTTGTCAAAAATGGGATGAGTTCATATTTTTTATATCTCAGTGGTATTCCATTGTGTATATATAATACATCTTCTTAATCCACTGCTCTCTTAATGGACATTTGGTTTGTTTCCATAACTTGGTTATTATAAATAGTGTTGCAATGAACATTAAGATTATATATATATGTGTATATATATGTGTATATATATATATATATATTCCTTTGAATAAGTAATTTTGTATTCTTCAGGTAGAAACCTAAGAGTGGAATTGTTAATCATATGATAGATCTAATTTTTAATATTTTAAAGAACCTCCATATTGTTTTCCTTGGGGGCTGGGTCAGTCTGTATCCCCACCTACAGTGTACCACACTTCTTTCCAAATCCTTGACAAAATTTGTTTCTGTTATATGGGCCATTCTCACTGGAGTGAGGTGGTATCTAACTTTGTTTTTGAATTGCATTTCTCTGATAAGTGATGTTAAACATTTTTTCGTGTGCCGTTGTCCACTTGCATGTCTTTTTAGAGAAGTGCCTACTTAGCTATTCCATTTTTGGATTGGGTTATTTGTTTTCTTTTTGTTGAGTTGTATGAGTTCTTTGTAGATCTTGGATATAAGTTCCTTGTCTGATGTATAATGTTCAAATATTTCATCTCAGATTCAGTGGAATGTGTTTTTTGTGTTAATGATATTTTCTTTTGCTGTAAAAAAGCTTTTAAGCTTGATGTGGTCCCATTTATTTATTTTTACTTTTGTTTTCCTTACTGTTGGAGTTGAGTCCCCAAGATATCCCTGAAACCAATGTTGTGAAGTGCTTTGCCTTGTTTTCTTCTATGGACTTTATAGTTTCCAGTCTTAAATCCAAATCTTTAATCCATTTTGAGTTACTTTTTGTGATTGGAGTGAGAGAATGGTTCAGTTTCAGTTTTCGGCATGTGGCTGTCCAGTTTTCCCAGCAGCAATTTATTGAAGAGACTTTACTTTCTCTAATATTGAATATATACTCTTGGCTTCTTTGTTGTAGATTAACTGGCCATATAAATGTGGGTTTATTTCTGGGGTCAGCTGTTTTCCAGTCATTTGCTTTGAAACTAGGTTTATCTTTGGTGCTTAGATGGGTCTTCTGGAGACAATAGAAAGTTGAGTTTTGATTTTAGATCCAGCCACCCAGTCTGTGCCTTTTGATTGGTGAGTTCAGTCCACTTACACTGAAAGTGATTATTGACATATGGGTCTCTGCTACTACCATTTTGTCTTTAGTTTTCTGCCTCTATTTATTTCCATGTTTAATTTTTGTGGATTTTATTGACTTTGATTTAGATTTTATTCACTTTGATTTAGATTTGAACATTTCATGTAGGGGAGGTATACCGTTGGCAAACTCCTTCAGGTTTTGTTTGTGTGAGAGGCCTTTATATACTACAACCATCTTTTTTTCCTTCAAGAGTTACTGACTTTGTTCTGCTGTAACCTAGCTATGAGTATGTGGAGGAGGCGAGCCCAGCATTTTCACTCTGCCACCACCTTCTCACAGCTCCTGTGTTAATCCTTACAAGTAATATATCCAAACTCTTTCACTTTTGATCCTGTTTTTAACTTTCTATTATTAACTTGGTTGTATGTGACCGCAGCTGTTCTTTAAAGAGAGGTGGAGTACAAATGGAAAGTACATTTTCAGGTTACTTTTTTTTTTTTGCTCTTTATCCATTTAAATCTTGAGAACTGCATGCCAAAATATAAACATAACCCTTTGCATACTCCTCAAACCTCACTTTGTAAATTGAGATGACTGACTCAATTGGAAAGAAGTTAGGCATCTAGTTGTTGTGATTTGAGGGTTTAACACTGTTTGAAATTTTCACTATTAAAGTTATAACTTTGAATCCAGGCACAGACATCTTCTACTAAAATCCAAGGACATTTAAGGTTTTTTTTAAGTGGACATGAGTCAAAAGGGAGAAATTACGAGAGATGACTAGAAAGGACGAGAGATTTCTGCAGGTTTCCCCAGGACAGAGTCAAATATGTAGTCTCTGAGAAGAAGGGAAAAGGGCAGCAGAACCAACAGTCTTATTGTTGCTTCATCTCTAGGGGCAGAGATAGAGTCAATACACCAAAGGCTGTCTAGATCAACAGCTTTGATGAGAGTGGATATGCACATAAGTCACCCCTCTCCGGGTTAGTATAGGTTTAAGCTCACCCATGTCTCCTTTGCAAGGGTTACCAAGAATGCATACTTAATTTCTTTACTTAAATTGACTTTCAAAAACTCAGATGTCTTTATTTAAATAACTTAAATTATATTTTTTGAATTAATTAATATATATTTTACATCATGTTCATTTTTGTACAATGTTTGCTTTCTCCTCTCAGATTTCATCCCCATAAAATTCCCACCACCAATTCACCCATGATCCATCACCATAGTCCCTTGTGCTCTTCCCCTCCCCTCCTGTTTTGATCCCTCTCCCTCCCCTGCAGAATGTCACTGATTTATTTTGGTTTTTTATTTGTTATTATTTTTTCCTGATCCCTTATTTGGTCCCCCTACATTCTTTCCATAAGTGAAACCATCTGATATTTTTCTTTTTCCTTCTGGCTTATTTCACTGAGCATAATCCCTTCCAGCTCCATCCATGTTGCTGAAATGGCATGAGTTTATCTTTTTTGATTGTTGAGTAGTATTCCATTGAAAAATATGGAACACTTCACAAATTTGTGTGTCGTCCTTGCGCAGGGGCCGTGCTAATCGTCCCTCTAACGTTCCAATTTTAGTATATGTGCTGCCGAAGCAAGCACTTAAATTGTTTTTAATAACTTATTCTTTCTTTTTTATTTATGTCATCCTATGGACAGAACATATTTACCTCAGTAAAAATTACAAAGCTAGAGGGTGTTTCATTGTCCTCCAGACTTCAGGGTCTTCACCCTGGCAGTTGCCAGTGTTTTCAACTTCTCACATACCCTTTAAGGAATGTTCCATACATTCATTGCTTGAATGATTCTTAAAGTATCCAAAGGCAATCTACAGTATATATTTTCAGTGTGACTCAAAACTCAGTAGTCTTTAAAAAGTGTCACTGTATCTTATTCTCAGAGTCTCTCAAAGACTCTCAAGTTAATGACGTGAAAACAAAACCCCTTCTGGCTTCTCATTGCCTTTTCCTCTTCTAACTGAAAATGTCTCCTTCTTTCTTCCTCCCAAGTTGTCCATCAATTCACTTCCTTGGCATAAATGATGGTCTTTCCACCTCCAGACTGGAGGATGGAAATATTTTTGTTATTGTGCAGTAATCCCAGATTGGAAATCAAATGTTGTCTCACCATCATGTCTTTGTTCAATGCCAAAAACAGATGGCAGCAAATCCATGTATGATCTAATCCTTTGATTTACACTGACCAGTTGTAATTTATTATTTCTTCTAATTAGAAGATTTAATGTGTTTAGCATCACACGATTTAATTTATTAAAATGTTTCTGCAGAATGAACAAAAAGAAGTCATTAGTAAATTTCGCACAGGAAAAATAAATCTGCTTATCGCTACCACAGTAGCAGAAGAAGGTCTGGATATCAAAGAATGTAATATTGTTATCCGGTATGGCCTCGTCACTAATGAAATTGCCATGGTCCAGGTACATTCACATACCTCTGATATATTAATTCTTGCTTCAGGATTCTTATTTTAAATTATTCTTTTAGTAAAACAGCATAAAGCTTCTCTTCAGTTTAAAAAAAATCTGTTTTTCTGCTAAAAGAGCAATATTAAAGAGCTGTGTGCCTTTTAGATTGTTGTTTAATTCATATGACAACCAACTTCCTGCTGTATTTTTAAACAATTCCTCTTTGGTTATGATTTCTGTGTCCTAAGATTTTTAGGGACACGACTCTGGCCCCATCTGTCAGAGTCAGAAGTTGCCTCCTGATTTCTAGCATGTCTGTGAGCCCCCAGCTGGGCCAGGAATCTGAGTTGCGGGGTCCACAAATGTCTGACAAATTAACAAACCCAACCTTAGGGAGCCCTGCTGCTTCCTCGTATTCCTCCCTTACTCTTTCAAATTTTCTGTAAGTTTCTTTGTGTTTTTAATAATAAATGTAGGGGGCAGAGAACAGATTTATAAATGAAAAAAGGAAAAAGGAGTGAAATATTCCAATTTTCATTCAATTTCAATTTTTCTCTTACCCATACTGTTTGCAGACTGATTGATAAACATACTTATTCTTCCTACAAATTAACTAAAGTCTGTGTGTGTGTGTGTGTGTGTGTGTGTGTGTGTGTATATATATATATATATATATATATATAAATAAATTAAAAATTGTGTCCTTGACTGGAAGTCTGGGAAGACTAAGATAACCCTATAGTTATCAAATTAAGAAGCAATTGTTTTTCAGGAATTGCTTGTTAGTCTGTGGATTATTACTCAGAATGTATTTTTCATGAAAATAACACTAAAGGTGATAATTGGGTTTCTGCACTAGGTCACAAAATTTTCTGTTACTCAAAATGTACCTAAATGTTGTTTTATAAACAGGGCTATAGAATGTCAGTATTACCATGTTAGCATGGTTTCACTGGAAAATGTGCTCAAAATACAATGTAGTCTGCCAGGAAAAGAGCTGTATTCTCCCCAGCCCTGCTATTAAGGTCAGAGGTTTCCATCCTCGCCTTTCATCCCTTCTGTGAGTGAAGCTCCTCAGTCCAAGTCACTGTAATTGTTCTCAGGGTTTGAGAGAGGGCCCTACAGATCAGAAGCCTGGGCAGAGCAATATTTGGTTATTGGGGCTTTTGAAGGTTGCTGCGGGGACCTAACCATCATCATTCTAGAACACTGTTGGACATTAAAGTGCATTTTGAGTACTTAACCAAAAATGGAAAACTGACTTGACAGAAAATAAAGAGATTGTTTGAAGGCTGGAACACACTGAACAACAAATACCTTTTCGGACCCCAAATGAGAACGTTCACAGCACAGCCCAGCATTGCACACACCTCATTTCTTTATGTTCTCAGGCCCGTGGTCGAGCCAGAGCCAGTGAGAGCACCTATGTCTTGGTTGGCGACAGTGACTCAGGAGTTTTTGAACGTGAAACAGTTAATGATTTCCGAGAAAAAATGATGTACAAAGCTATAGAACGTGTTCAAAATATGGAACGAAAGGAGTATGCTCATAAGGTATTGTTTTTGGCCCTCTCTCTGAATTTAGTTTTTCATTTTAAAATGTCTGCATGTGGTTGTCATTGGTATCTCTGTGGCTAAGTCTCCAGACGGAAATTGTGCTGAGTTACAAATTTCGGTTTGATGAACTCTGCTTTATTCAGATTCACATACAGAGAATCAAATCTATGGTGAGCAGAAATTGTTTGGGAGCCGTTCCAGTGGAATTAACCATGAATTTTGATAATATAAATTTAAACTGCCCTTGATCCAGAAATACTAGTGCAGCTCACTCATTCAACCCAACCTAGTAATTTTATCTTGGTCCAGTCTGTTTGTTTAGCACAGTTTTTTTTTTTTCATTTTAGAAACCTTTATGGAATGGCTGTGCATCAGGCAATGTTCTAGAAACAGAACATGGTGACAAATGATACAGATAGACCCCTGTGGCATGAAGCTTATGTTCCAGCATGTACATGTTGAAATTTGTAGGGGAGAAAACATAAATAGAAATAAAACAAGAAATACACTATCTAGAAAAAAATATTAAAGAATTAGAATAGGATAATATGAAATAACTCGCTAGATGAATATTTCCAATGGCTTTTTAGGGAGGGAAGGTCTTTAGGAGGGAATGACCTTGAGGCTATAGCTGAATGATAAGAAAATACATAATATGTCTAATTGCATCTCAGTTTACTAACTTAGAGTTATTTGAGTTGTGAGAGGAATGCAGTGAGGGAAGAATGTATTTCTACAGTATTTCAGGAAATCCCCCATACCACTGAATTAAAGACTGTAACTACTATAATAGCAAACAATCCATTTAGAAGAAAATTCACACCCTTGCATATGGGTGTGAATGTTAGTTTCTTAACATTGGAATTGGCTCTACCCTAAATAGAGTTTCACGAAAGGGATGCTTTCAAATTGGTGTGCATTGCTATAACCAACTCCAAGGTTTCCTGGCCAGGTTTCTACACAAACTTATATTTAAAAAAATCCCCCTTAAATATAAGGCAAACTAAACATTGTGCAGTGTCAAATCAAACATTTGTGGCCAAGTAATTCCACTGGAAAGTTATTGCCTTATACTTAACATCTTAAATGAATGAATCAAATGGACATTTTCAAAGATCGGTGTTTCAAGACTATTTGTTTTGGGTAAACTCTACACTAGTTCTGAGGTTTATGTGTCAAAATTTTTGACATAATCTCTGAAACAAGACATACTCCCTTTCAGGGCCCCAGATTGAACTACCTTTTTGATCTCTTTCGACTAAGAAACCTGCCCTCTGAAAACTGCCCCAGGTAGATAAATTCAGAGCAGGTGGAAATGATTTGGGGTACTAGCACTATGCTCAGAGCTCCCAGCAGATGTTGCTACTGGTCTGCAACACCCCTTTCTTCTAATTTGAGAATCCTTCTCAATGCAGTGTTCAGGCAACTGCTGGTAAATGGTGAAAGTTGACTGTAATGTGACATCCATTCTCCCTGTCACATACAGAATGGATATAGAACCGAAAGTTTTGTCAATCAGAACAGACTTCTGGGAGCAAGTTGAAGAGCTAAGACACTTGTCCTGATGTTGACCCAATAGCTTTTGCTGAATTACTCTCTTTTAATTGGAATTAGTCTGATTGTAGCTATGCCTCCCATATATTTATTAAGGTTTTTTTTCTTCTCTAATTACATTATATTCTTTACTATTTTAGAACTACCCTTTAGTTTCTGGTGTCTAGCTTACATGTCCATACATTGACCTTAGTTTTATTTTTATTTTTCTCTGTTGCACACATAGGTGTTTTTTAATTGCCTACATGAATATGATCCTATTCCAAAACATCTGTTAATCAGCTCAGTGAACAATAAGTATCTTACACAAATGCCTTAATTTAATGTTTAAGGCCAGAGAATATGTTGTTATTATATTATTATAATTTACATAAGAAATTATTTTTTGTTTGATTAAAACTATTGTATAGCCCATAAGTTTGCTTGCAAGGTTTTGTTCTCTGTTCTGTGTTAAATTTGATTGCCTTCAATCAAGACTTGAAACTTGGAGCTGGGGGATCTAGGGGGAGGGTATCAAAGAGATGGACCATTCAACTTTGCTCATCAGTACTGAGAGTTTTTCTTAACAATTAATTAGGTCTTAAGAAAAACAGTGGTCTCCTTCACAATTTAATATAAATTTGTCGTCAGTCAGAGGGTCAATTTGAAGGTAAATTATTTAAGAAATAGGTTTTACATCTGCTAGGTTGTATAGGTATGAGCACTAGAAAGCCCCTAGGTCAAGTTTTACATCTCTCATAAACAAGATTTTTTCTGTTATGAGAAAATGTTGCCACTAGTCACAAAGCCTAGACTATAATGGTTTAACGGCTTCTCTCATTTAAAGAATGGGGCAATCTGGGCCCACAGAATAGCTGTGAGATATGGCATGAGGAGCTCAGGCCTCTTCTATCCCTGTCTTCTCTGTCCTTTCAGTATTTGGCTTCCATTCTCAAGATGAAAGATAGCTTTTAGAACTCGAAATGCTGTATTTTCACTCTAGGCAAGAATGAGGAAGAAGGTGGAAAAGGATAGGTGTCAGCTGTCTGTACTTACAGGAGACTTTCTGGAAATCCTCCTCAACATCTTCCTAAGTTTTGCTGGACACTGACCTGGGAATCTAGTCATTTAGCTAGCACGTTTCCACACAGAATAAAATTATAGTTCTGTTCCTAGGAAGAATGAATACTAGGTGGGAAATTCGTTGTTTCCCTGAAGGTCATCACCTCATTATTTTTATCTCCAGACCAAGGGCCAAGTATATATTTTCATAACTATCTAAGATCTCTGAATCCCATGAGATTCATTTCAGTGAAACTATTAGGGAAAAATTTGATATCTTTTTTTCTATGCAGATTTTGGAATTACAGATTCAAAGTGTAATGGAGAAGAAAATGAAAGCCAAGAAAATTATTGCAAAGCAATTCAAGGATAACCTACCATCAATAAATTTTCTCTGCAAAAACTGCAGTGTGGTAGCCTGCTCTGCAAACGAGATCCACGTAATTGAGGGGATGCACCACGTCAATATGACACTAGATTTCAAGTATGTCTAGGAAGTCTCAGTTTTAAGTTTCTTTATAAAGAGCGAAGCAGATTGTATTGTACACACTTTCCAAAATAGTACAAATGAGACTCATTTTCCAGAACTTTCTCTCCTTTATTCCCCCAGTTATGTCCCTATTTCAAATGTCAATTTCTTAAAGCTACTGCACAGGGACAGGGAGAGAAATGTGTAAAATCCAAAACCATTTTGGTCCAAAGTACATCAGTTATGTACAGTCATATTTATTGTCAAATATTCCAACAACTTCAGTCTATATAAAATAATTAACAGTTGGGAGAAGCCACAAAAGGCACCATTCCCTTTGAGAGGTGTATGTGGACAGGGCCATTTCCCTGATAGTTGGGGGAGGTAGGAGGAGGAGCAGAGTAGGGTGTGGGATTATGCATGCTCACCAATTAGCGTCAGGTCCAGCACTTTGTACCCATGGGCTGCCTATTGGTCTTTTGTGAATTCTTGAGGATGATTCTGACTCCTTGAACATTTTAGGAAGCGCTACATTGTGAGAGAAAACATAGCACTTAACATGAAGTTTGCTGACTATCAAATAAATGGCGAGATTATCTGCAAAACATGTGGCCAAGTGAGTAAAGTTCAGTTTAGTTTACTTTGTTCAAAATAATTTATCAAATGTGCATTTAATTCTCCCTTTTATTTTCCAGGCTTGGGGAACAATGATGGTACACAAAAGCTTAGACTTGCCTTGTCTCAAAATAAAGAATTTTGTAGTGGTTTTCGGAGATAAGTCACCAAAGAAACAATACAAAAAGTGGGTCGAACTGCCTATTACATTTCCTCAGCTGGACTATTCAGACTATTATAAATTGAATAATGAGTACTGATATTTGATTCAATATTCTTTGCAAATATTACCATCTTAACACTTGCCATGGTTTTGATCAAAGATTTCATTGTGCTACAGAACAAATGTGAGAATAAATAAATCATTACTCTGCTTTGAATTGTTTATAGAGGAAGACAATATATTATTCTCTCAATTACACATCTTATTGGTGGGCAAGGGTTAAAAAAAATCTACCCATTATACTCATTAGTGTGGAGCTTATAGTACTGTGGACAGCAGGCTGGAGTGTATAGGCAGAGCCAAGCTAGCAATCGCCGTGCTATCATTCATTTCAGAATACAGCTCAGCAAATAGTTCATCTCTCTATATGGGCCATTTCGTGGGGGAAATGGCTATATTATTATCTGCCTTCATTTTCATTATTTTCTATTTTTGCTTAAGAAATTGCCACAAACTTAGTGATTTCAAACAATCCCCTTTATCCCTGTATGGATGCTATCGACCACAGGTCTGGCAGAGTCTTCTGGCAGAAGGCAGAAATCAAGGTGTCAGCCAGACAATGTTCTCGTCTGTAAACACTGGGGGAAGGATCACTTCCAAGTTCTTTCAAGTTGTTGGCAGAATTCATTTCCTTGCAGCTGTGTGACTGGGATTCCTGTTTTGCTAGTGTTCCACTGGGGATGACTGCAGCACCTGGGGCTGCCCTCACCACACAAGCAGTTTGCAGGCCATTTCATTGCACAGCTATTTGCTTCTTCAGGGTCAGCCAGATTATCTCTGAAGTCTGCTAAGAGGGAATCTTAACTGCAACCACAGGAGTGACAAGCAGGGCTTCCCTGGTGGCACAGGGTTTAAAGACACAGGGCTATTAAGCTATTGCCAGCCACTGCAGCATGAGTTCGATCGCTGGCAGACTAGGGAGCTACCCACATGGCGCAGCAGACCTCTCCTGATTCGCCTGCTGCTCCCCTCAGCAGTGTATTTCAGTAGATCCGCTCTGTTCCCCACTCTATCTCTGGTGAATCCTCTCACCTCTCGCATCTCTGGCCTTCACCCCAGTTCTTGTATGCATAAATAAATAAATATTTTTTTAAAATAAAAGAGTGATGAGCACATGATATCATCTAGGTCCTGCCCCTACTGAAGGTGAGGCGATTTCTCAGGGCTTATATAATAGCAGGTTGAAATCTCAAGGACATAGGAGAAATCTGTTTCCCACATCACTTGCCCAGTTTTATGATTGATTTGTGTGTACATATAAAAAAACTTTGAAGAAATATGATGCACCATAAAAAAAGCAAGATCAAGATGCAGCAGCCGATAGCTTTAGACTTACTTCCACAGCCTTCCTCCAGGAATATAACACTCTGCTCAAATACTGCCTGACAACAGAAGTGGGGGCTAAATTCAGACTGGTATTACAAGTGTACCTTTGTTGTGGATATTCCAGGATTCACACAGGACTTAGCAGGGAGCAGATGCTGGACATTATTAAAGAATGAAAAGAAAAATCTCTACCTCTGTCCCTCCCTCAGCCCAGGCAGAATAGTAACCTCTCTGTGACTGTGACATTTGCAGTGTTTCTGAATTAAGTATGATAATTTGGAACTGACCAGCACTAAAGAACGTTGTTCCAGAAGAGAAGCTGCCTCTTTGGGTATGGTCAAGATGCCCAGTTGACCATTGTAACTCACACTTAACCAGTCTCGATAGATGGCTTGCTCCATAGAAACAGTTCCCTGACATGATTAAGGAAGAACAAAATGTTACAGGGAAATTAGAAAAGTCTTCTGTGGTTTTATGGATTAATTCAGTTCAATCAAGCAGTAACTTAGTCTTTTCTTGATAAGATCTAAACAAAGATGAATATTAACCAATCAGAACTTCTGGGAATGCAAGAGGACAAAAGATGATTTTTTTTCTTAAAAATATGTTTTAGAATTCCAGCTGACTCCATTTAATGTATTGCTGTCTTCTAGAACATTTTGGAAACTATGCAAGAAACCAAATGCATAAAATAGCTAAATGTACTACTGCAACATATGTAGACTGTTTTTGAGGTGTCAACAAATATCAGGTTTTTTAAATCTATGTTTTCCAGTATTTTTTTTTCAATAAAGGAGTGTTATTTCTCTTCAAAGTTTTAAAATACATATTGCAAGTAGTATGAAACTTAATACATGGTGGTACCTAAAAGGTATGGTACACATATTTCATTCCCCCAAATTGAAATAGTTGAAGCAATTCAATTGATTATTACCAAACACCTTAATAGTCATGATATTTAAGGCCATGAATAGCCCCTATACAAGTTAACATCATCTTGGAATTAGAATCCTTGAATTTTATTGCCATAAAGGGTTCCATTAGGTGTGTGACTGAGAAACTTCATTTCACAGGGACTATGTTTCCTCTCCTGGGCAAAGAGCAATAGCATTTAATGATATCAAAATTATCTTACAACTCTCACATTCTCAGAGTCCATCCTTCTGGCTCTCTGGCTGCTTTCTTTTAAGATCTTAGTGACTTGTGGTAATATCAGCTGTAGGCTAAATACCTTCTAAATACATTGCATATTTGAAGATAGCTCACATCTCATGTCATGCTAAGAGCATTACAGAGTTCTCACAGAACAGACACACTGCCCAGAGTCATGTGTCCAGGCTGGATAAGGCCTGAAGGGTCAGGAAATTAAACAACAAGCATTTCCAAACTACAAACCATTGGCTAACCTGGTGGATAAGAAATGAAAGAAGAAAAGAAGTGAAACAAAAAAAAATTGACACAATGGCAGAGCATATGAAATTAAAATACAGTAATATAATGTATACAAGTATTTTGAATATAAGGCATTGAGGCAAACTCAGAAGTGAAGAAGAAATGATTTTCCAAAGGATGATAAGTACATATCACAATTGTTGAAAGTGAAAAATGCTATGAAAGGTGAGTATAATTCCCTCTGGATTTTTATAGTTCCTACATCAGAGTGTTATGCCTTAGAATATTCTGATGTTCTCGATTCAGTTGGACACTAGAGCAAAGAGGATTTGGATTTTCATGTAGTTTCTAAAATGTCAAAGATTCAAACACATTAATGTGCTGATGGAAAAGAACAATAAAGTGAGAAGTTGCCAGCAATGTTCAACCCAGAGTAAATTGCTTATTAAAATTTTTGATATTTTCTGCCAAACCTTCTTACCATAAGCTTTTCTGGTCACCCAATTATTTTCCACTGCATGACCTTGCACATGGTTAGAAGCCCTTCCTTGCTACCTCTTCAGGAGACATCCCTGTGTTCTTCAAAGACAAAACCCAAATGGCACTTCCCAGGATCTAGCAAAGTCCAGTTTTCAGAACTAGAATGGAGAATGAGTAAGGAAAATACCATTTACTCATGCTGAACATAATAAAGTGCTCATTTCCAAAATCTGGTAAACAATTACTTGAGTCATAGCTATCAAGAAAATTAATTTATTTTCTTATACGAGTTACGAAGTTAATTTGAAATGACTGTTACCTTCTTCTGTCTTCTTCAGTTAGTGCCTTTCTTCTTAATTATAGGAGAAGTTGATAGTGAGTCATCTCTTTGTTTTTATGGGGCGAGCTTGGAATGAAACAGACTCAGTTTGATTCCTCACTACTTTGTGACTCTGGAAAGTCCATCTCTCTGAGCATATGGGAAGAATCATATTCTGGCCCTGAAGGGTCATAACTTATAAATATTCTGAGGGACAGAGTGCCCAGGTAATCAGAGTTTGGTCTGGCCAGGGTGGCAGGAGGTTGGGGGGAAGTGGGTGCCATGTATGTCTTTACTCAAAACATCCAATGATTAGAATACATAAACAATTTCATAAAATATGCTTTATTTGATTAAACTATGATTGGACTAAGGAAAATTGAATTGTATCAAGGTAGTCTGATATTCTGTCTATCTAGAGTGAATTGGGAGGTTAGGAAATGGATGTGATAAGTATAGATGATCTTTAAATGGCATTGTAAAAAACAGATGGGGATAAAATTTCAAAAGAGGATTGATCCAAAGTTTCAAGCCTGTTGACAGACTGCAGAGTGAAAGTCTGGAAATAAGGAGAGATGCAAGAATCAAGAGAGAAAGAGGAGATGTAGCAAAATGCATGGGTAGGGAGAGGATAAAACCAGGAGCACAGGAAATGGTTAGGTTGGGTAGAGGGAGAGTTGCTGCCCTTTCAGAAGCAGAATAAAAGTAAATATGAATGAGAAGACACAGCTTGATGTAAAGGTACCAAAACAGGAGGCAAACGGAATTTATTCTCCTGGCATCAATCACTAGCTATTGCTGAGTTGGGCTTTGGATTTGAGGATGGACATAGAAAAGTAGTAAAGATTTTTAAATATGCTTTGATAAATGAAAAAATGACTCATTGAAAATTGATAAGAATATTGCCTTAGTAGGACCAGTTGAATTAGAAATAATAAATCTAGACCCAATAATTTAATAATTTTTTATGTGCAGGGCAATAGACTAAGTTCTGTTATATTTATTCTTTGTTGTGCAAAAGGAAAAAATCTGAATTTGGTTAAAAATTTGATGGACTCAAAAAGCTTTGAAATGTTAGCATTGTTGTAACTCAAATGAAGCTACATGGAGGTTTGGATAGCCTTTCTTTACTTGGTTTGTATTTAGAAGAAACCCATTACCAGCATGCAAATTAATTAAAAAGTAATTTAAATATTTATTTCTGGCCTGCACAAAAATGGAAGAGGAAAATTACATCCTATACAAATTTTGTGAAATCTTTTTAACTTTTGTTTCCCAAGTTCCCAAATACTATCTATTACAGGACAGCAACTTTTTCTCTTTTCAAAACTCCTCAAAATTATCTCCCTAAAATCATCCTGTATTTCTTTTTTATCTCCCTGGCTCCTCCCAGTCCCTTCCTTTAATGATATAAGTCATTATTGCTTAACTGTTTATTTATTTGCCTCTCTGTGTTCTTTTTTTTTTTTTTTTTTAAGATTTATTTATTTATTTATACAAGCACTGGGTACAGTCAGAAGCACGGGAGGGTGAGAGAATTCACCAGAGCCAGAGCAGGGAGCAGAGCAGGCAGAAGGACCGAAGTACACTGCTGAGGGGAGCAGCGGGAGGCAGGAGAGGTCTGCGCGCCATGTGGGACCCTCCTCTGGTGGCCGGGGAGCAGCCGGGGATTGAACCGGCGCTGCAGAGGCTGCGGGCAGCTTCACAACCCAGCGCTCAACCGCTGCGCCACCGGGGAGGCCCCTCTCTGTGTTCTTTATCCCAGGCTTAATGGGTACCTGAATCACAGGTGGTTTTTCAGAGCTGAGCATTGGGTGGTGGGAATTTTTGTGAATATTCACATTAATATTTTTAATCTCTGGAATATCAGACAACAGCAC